GCTCTTCGCCCAGACCCTTGGCGAGGGAGAGCGAAGCCCCTTCTGAGGAGCAGGGAGTGTTTCGCTGCTCCCTAGTTTTGCATCTTTGTTTTCTGGGTTTCTTCTTTTATTGCTTTTATCATCTTATCACTTTCATATTTTCTTGTGAACCGCCTAGAGTTGTTGGGAGTTAGGCGAGTACAAACCAAATGAAATGAATAAATAAATAAAATAAACTTGTTTCTGCCCACCTGGCAAGTGATATACAGATATATCACTCCTGAAAATGAAGGTTCTATACCTCCCAGTTAATAACTGCATCCCTTTTGAAACCACCAAGCCCAAGATTTTGCAGCAGTGAGCAGTTTAGGTTAATTATACCGCATTTGTGGAACAGTGTGTATATCTGTGTGATTGAAACAGAGACAGAGAAAAAGAGAGAGCCGCAGCATATTTGCAAGTATCAAAGAGTCAGAAAATTAACCATCTCAATAAGCTCTGAAATTCAGGAGGTGACTTTTGCTAGTCCTCCCCTCCACCCTCAGACGACGACAAGCTGCATCTAAGTCAGTGGTGTGATGTGTCTGCAAAACCGCGAATACAATCTTAGGTTGTAACAGCAGAAATATAATGTCCCCGTCACAGGAAGGAATCATTCCACCTTATTCTGCCAGGCTTTGCCTCAAGGCTCCGAGCACCCCTCTTTCAGAAGGAGTCAAAGAAATGGGAACCTCTTCATACAACAGCAGTAAGGAAGATCAGGAGATTATGGAATTCATCCTATGAAGAGAGTTGGAGAAGCCGGGAATGTTCTTGACAATCAGAGGGGTCTGCAGAGGGGTCAAAACGTGAAGCTGGCCACATGAATTCCCCCCAGCAGATGCCCTGCTGAAAAGAGAAGACTGAGGTGGAGAGGGTAGCCCTCTCCAGATTCCAAGAAGGATGTCCCACAGAAGACAGTCCAGACTTCTTCTCTCTTGTTCCATCATGCAGGGAACAGAATGGAACCTCAAATTACAGAATGGCAAATGCTGGTAGAATGCCAGGAAAAGGAAGAGCCATTCAGTGGCCAAGCTAATAACCCCAAGAGGTTCTGGGCTCCCTTCAAGGACAGCCCAGCAAACATCCATCTCAATTTGGACTCTGGCCTGAGCAGCGGGTTGGACTTGATGGCCTCAAGGAAGCCTTCCAAGCCTTCCAATCCTTAGGATGCTAAGATTATGTAAGATGGGAGGGGGGCTCATTTGTGTTAGGTTGTGGGGCCTCTTTGGAAGAAGGGGAGGAGTCTTCCTCAGTTTGGTACCCCTCCAGTTTTTTTGTCACTGCACTTTCTAGAATGTATACTAGCTGGGTTGGGGAAGGCCAAAAATAAAAATTAAGACTTCTGGAAGCTTCTGCCAGTTGCAATTGTAACCCTGCAAGACAAAACAAGACATTTTCTTCCTTCCCCCACCACGGATAGTTTTTTTTAAACGTTCTTATGTGCAGAAAAGAAGGAAAAGGGAAAAAAAGCTTAATAGTCGAGTTCTGCTCCTGTTACCTTCATAGACACAAGCGTGTGATTTTCTTGGCCACAGGACAGAAGTGGATCGCCCTGGGTTTCTTCCGTGATGCTTTTCCAACTGCCCAGCCCAGCCTACAGTCCCAGGATTTCCTGCTGGTCCTCATCCAAGGCCTAAAGAGATCCAAACTTTTTAAATCTTTGCAGCTAAGTGAAGGTTCTCCAGGTGCTGTCATCTTGCTGGGCAGAAAGTAAAAAACATACCACCTTATAAACGAAACAGAGATGCTGTATGTTACTGCTGAGATTATTAGATTTCTGCAAAGCATTGTCTAGGGAGCTTTGCAAAGAACCCTAGGCTGGCAGCATCTGCACTAGAACCCATGGTTCTAGCCCTGAATTGCTGGGATTGGAGTTGTGGGGGGAGCTTCTTGGGACCCCCACCCTCAGTTGTTCTCTGACATCGTGGCTATGGTTTATTGTGATATTTCACCAAAGACTTTTTCTTGGCATCTTCCTCACTTTCCTTCATTCCTCAGAGGGCCTTAGGGAGAGCCTCCCATTGAATTTTTTTTTAGAAAATGCACGTGGCAGTGAATCTGGGTTCCAGGATCTGCATCCTGGAGCCCAGTCCTGGCCCTTGCAGAGATGAGAACTTGGCACAGGAGGCTTTCAAAACTCTCCACCTGGCTATGGGCACAGGAACAAGAGGGAGGACCTCTCCCCACCATCTCTCCAGGGCAGTCTCCCCCTCAATGGTCGTTACTGTAGGGCTGCAAAGGCTGGGAAGCTGCAAAACCGGGGTGGGGGGGAGGGGACTGTATTAGGTAAGGCTTAAGAGCCTTAACCACCCAAAATTTCCCTAAAATTCTCTGTCTGGAAAGAGATTTCAAAGGCAAATTTTCTTTCATCAAGCTGGAGAACCAGTGGGGATTCTCCTACTTGGCCCTTGCAGAGATCCACTTCTGTCCCCAAGCACACACATGCTTCCCTGGAAAAGGGATCCCACACAGACAGGATCATCCCATGCCTGTTAGCCAATCCGCAAGCTCCTTTTGTGTGAGATTTACTCTTGGGCTTTTGCCTTCTTTTGCCCCCCCCAGCCCAGCTTCTTTGCCGGCTCGGCCGGGCCTTTCTCTTGGGCCCCCCCCCGGCTATGTGGGTGAGTGGGATCTAAC